GTCTCCTCCCCCCTCTCACCTTCATGTCCTCTTACTATTTTTTAAAAGCCTACAGAGTCGGATATGTGTTCTTCAAATGTTCTTGGGCATGGATCCACCCCTGGAGCCTGATCAAACTGTCATCACCCCTAAAAGAAAACTAACTCTCCCTCTTTCAATTTCCTGTGTTCATCAACCACCACTGACTCTTACAGTCTTTCCACTCTCCACTTCTGCAGTGATCTCTGAGCCTTGGGAGGAGAGAGTAGGCTACAGGTCCCACTTTGCATTCTCTTACTCTCTTCATATTGACCAACTTTGGGTCCCTGTGTTAATTGCCATCTGCTGTAAAAAGAAATATCCCTAGTGAGGGTTGAAAGATATATTAATCTATGTGTATAGCAATAAATCTTTAGGGGTCAGTTTACTATTGGGTCCCATTTAGCAGAATAAAAATAGTAAGTTATCTGGCAACTATTTTTATAACCACTTTCCTATCGTAACTAATGAAGTTCTGTGCCTTTTTTTCTGTCTAAACTTCAGACCACCCTTCTCTTACCCCTTTTTGCTGCAGTTGTTATAATTCCTACAATGAAATCAAACTTTTTCTGTGTTTCAGTTTCTCTCTATCCCATGTCATCTTTATTTTGTCTGTAAACATAAGCATTCACTTTATTCATCCAGCGACAGAAGTGTTGGACACTGTTGTTTCACGGTCTCCAGCTGCCTAGGAAGAGTGACCTCCTAGTCTTCTCTTAACACATTCACTTTGTTTCTGAATGTCTGCAGGATAGCTAGAAAAACAATGCACACTGTGTCTAGGTGGAATTTATATTCTCATTTGTACTCTTTAATTTAAATTAGCTTTCTGCCACTGTCTGAACTTCCCTTCCATCCATTCTACATACTTTCACTCTCTCATGTTCTTAAGTCACGTTCTTGTTCTTAACTTTTATTTGAACTGATTTTAAGTTGATTATAATATCTGCATTTGATATTGGTCTGCTTTAATTATGCTTCTCAGTTCTGTGCAGAAGTGTAGTGATTAAAAACACAGGACACTCACAACATGACTTATAGATTCCTATTTTTTGCAGTCCCCCCCTTCCATCTCCTGAAACTATTCACACTAGAAACGTGCCAAGTAAATCATCATCAACATCCTCTTGATAATTAACATATACGTTGTACTTTTCTGACAACTGAAATCAAACTCTCTTTTAATTATACTTTTTTTTTTTCCTATATCTCTTCAAACTGTTTTATTCTCTATATTCCTTTGGTGCCACAAATATCTGTTTTCTCCTCTGAGTTCCTCCTACTAAATGGTGCATGCCCTCTTTTCTTTCCAACCCCACTTCAAGATCATTCTCTGTTGTATGCAGTATTCCTAGGGAGACAAACTATTATCTACTCACTCCAGATAGGGAATCAGTGACAGATCAAAGAAAGGAAACCAACAAAGTCCAACTTAGTGAACCAATGAGTTTTAGTGGATAACATACAAGAGTATGGGTGATGGGTTACTTATGGAAGAAATGGCTTAAAGACAGCCAAATCATCACAAGCCCAAACCAGGATGGATGAGAGTATGCAAAAGCTGGAAGCCCAGAGCACACTGCAAAATCTACAGGCAGCTCCACAGGTTGGAGAGTATCTTTCCCAGAGAGCTTAGGTGGTCTGAGCTTCTTCCAGGCAGCTTGGCTGGTCTCTGACGTTTCTAGGTGTCTGGGCTGGTCTGAGAGTGTATCTCAGCAGTCCTTACTACTTACACAAGCTTGGGTGGGAGAGACCATACGCTTTTCATTTTGTGTTTCCAAGGCCTCATGTTAACACTACAAAACAGAGTCCAACTTCTAAAAGTCCCAGTCTTTTTTAAATTCCAATGACTTAAAAGTTTGAGTCCTCTTTTAAAAATACAGTCTCTTACCGGTGGGCTCCTATATAATCAAATATAAGTTAAATATTTTCTATTCCAAGACAATAGAAACAAGACACATTCACAGTCTAACAAAACCATAACCAATAGCCAATGGTGTAAGTAGCTCAGTATCTGACATTCATGACTCATCCATGATTTGTCGGGGGGGGGGGTTCCAAAGACATTGAGGTATGCCACTTCCCCAGCTCTATCATCCACAACTATTGTGTGACACTATTTCCGGGAAGATATGAACAAATGTCTTCTCACCCAAGATAGTAAACCAAAAGCAGACCCAAACAAAGATAGCACGGAAGTCCAATTTGGTAAACAAATAAATATTATTGGGTTCCTTATAGGAACAGAAATTACTAGATTACATATGGTCTCCAAAGCCCACCACAACATGGTTAACAGCTCATGAAAACTGGAATCCTGGAGCTCATTACACAACTTACAAGCAGCTCAATGGGCTACAAACATCCTTGCTTCTTCCAGTCTGCTCAGCTGATCTTTCTCTTCCTTGGAATCCGACTGGTCTGAAATAGTTTCTCAGCAGCCCTTATTATTCAGATATGGTTGGGGGAGATGCCTAGTGAATTGGATCATTTTGCGGAATTCCTGAAGCTATTAAGTAGTTTTCTTCCTGAGTTTTAAGGAGCTTCCCTGCAGGATGGAGTGTTTCATCTCCTTTCACAACATCCTTAGTCTTATTGAGCTTCCTCAGAGGATTTGACCTCTCTTTAAAATATCCTGAGTCTTAGAGCGCTTTCCTCTAGGACAGAATGTTTTATCTTTTCCCACACAACACCCTTCCACTCAGTTTCTTGTCTCTTGCAGTTGAGCATAAAGAATAATTGCCAGAATGGTTCTGTTAAAACAAAGTGAGATTATGTCCCTTTTCTCCTCAAAAACTTTCAGCGCCCTCTTCCTCAGACTAGAAGCCAGCCTGTACGCACTGTAGCCTTGATTTTGCCTCTGGCTTTGTCATTTCTCTGTTTTGTTGTTTTACCACATCATTTATATGCTATATTCTTTCCTCGTTTGCCTGGTTTCTATCCAGTTTCCCCCATTAGAATGTGAATGCTATCTATGTGAGACAGATAGGGTGTATTTTTCTCTATTTTGCTCCTTAACTTATTGTTAGAGACTACAGAAGTGTCTAACATTGTAGGCTTGTAATAAACTGTTGTGGAATAAATCAATCATTCTATGAATGAAATTGTTTTCATTTGACCACACTATAGAATGCACTGCATATGCTAATATGGTTATAATCTGTGTGGTTTACTATAGTGATTACAAGAAAAAACACTGAAGTCTGAATGCTGTTTTGTCTTACTGTGGGATCTTGAAAATTTTACACAGGATTTCTAGGCTTTGTTGTCTCATTTACAAATGGTAATAGTGATTTTAAGTGATATACTCACATGACTGTTGCATAATTAAATAAGAAAGTGTGGGTAAAATATTCAGAATATCCACAATAGAATAAGTAGGCTTTTAGTAAAAATACTGTTTTTTATACTTAAAATGTATTTGTCCTTTTTTCTTGATTTTTACTTTTAATAAATTTTATAAGAAAAGAGAAGCTAAAATTGACATTTTTTATCTCTTCTCTAAAACCTCTTAAATTCATTTTACAACAGTGTTTAATTAATTTATTTGAGGCAAAGGTAAGTGCCTGTAAATGTTCCAGGAGCCCACTCAGCTTCTGTGTGCTAATGTCACAGGAGAATCAGCACCATGACCTCACTCATTACGCCGTGACAGACTTCTCCAGAGTGAGAACAGTTTTGGTTGTTTACCTGACTTTGTGTCAAAAAAATTATCTGAATGAAATTATTACAGTGTATCATAAAAAAGTGGTTGGCACCCTGGCATGGTGTCACAACCTTTTAATCCCAGTACTTCAGAGGTAGAGGCAGGCGGATCTCTGAGTTCAAGGCCAGCCTGGTCTACATAGTGAGTTCCAGGACAGCTGGAGCTACAGGGAGACCCTGTCTCAAAAAGACAAAAAATAAATTTGATAGGCAAGAGCTTTTTCTAAAAATTTGCATCCATAGCAAGTCATCCCTGAAAAGCTCTGCACTTCTCTCTTACAGTACTAAACTTTTTCCTTGGAAACAAAATATTTAGAAATACAAATATAGCCAGGCTTGACTTCTCAGTATATCAGAGACTGAGACAAGAAGACTGATACTGAAAGTTGAAAGTCAGCCTAGGCTATATAGTTAGACTGTCTCAAAACTTCAAAAAAAATGTTTAAAAAGGAAGAAGAGAAAAGGGGGAAATGAAAGAGGAGGAGAAATGGGAAGAAGGAAGAATTGTCTGAATGATTAGCATCACTTCAAATATTTCTGTTGAATTTATACTATTATATAGATTATACTGTGATTATACTTAGTTTAAAAATTTTCAATGGCTGACCAAAGTTCCAAGATAAAAGTATTTTGTTCACATAATCTATAAATTGATTAAAATTGATGCTTCTAGAGCTTGGACTAGAATTCCAGTTAGTATAATGGCTAGGATATGATTTTTTGTTGTTATGGTAGTCCAAAATTCTTGGACATAAAGTCATTAGAGCTCTTTTAGGAGCTATGATAACTTGAACTGTAGCTCTGTACACAGGAGGAGCCATAGTAGTTGGCAAGCAGATTGTCTGTGGCAAAATAGATCCATCATAAACACTATATAAAATATGGATTGTATCTGACATATTTTAATGCTGTAAATGTGTTACATGTGAAGGTTATCACATGAGAGTTTATGTATTATGTACTTTCTAATTGTAAGGATAATTTCAAGTAGTGATACAAGTTTTTGACAGTGCTGATATTTCTTTAGCTTCTCCTGTGTTTCCCTTTCACTTTGTAAACATCCGAGACTTCATCATCACCATCTCCTATCTTCATACCCCTTGAAACAAAGAACTGCCAGTAGGAAAGCCAAAGATGAAAGCATACTGACCCCTGAAGGAGAGTGTACTTCTTCATTTTCTGTGTTAATGTTTTGATAACACTATGTCGCCCTTTCCAGTGCTTTACTTGGATATTACTAAACAATATCCCTGGCTTTGTTCTTCTCATTTGCACAGGAAATGATTTGTTTCTTGTAGCAGTTCATGAATTGGGACATGCTCTCGGACTGGAGCATTCCAATGACCCCACCGCCATCATGGCTCCATTTTACCAGTACATGGAAACGGACAACTTCAAACTTCCTAATGATGACCTGCAGGGCATCCAGAAGATATATGGTAAGTTTCTGCAGGTCCTGTATGACTAATCCTATAGGAAAGTCAGAATTCATATTACTTTTTCTTATTTGAGATAGATGCTCTAATTTTGTAAAACAGAGAAAAACTGAAGGAAATCTCTCTGACCAACTGGAGAATTCTACTATTAACCAAGTTGTACTGGCAACGGTCCCCAAAGTCTTAAATTATCAGAAAATCTTAATTACTGATGGGGTTTTCTTGTTTAGTTGAGATTTCAAATCATAAAAATATTCTAATATTGTTCAAATTTATAAGCTAGGTAAATGCATATAATAGATAAATACATAAACCCATAAAATATTTAAAAGTGCAAAATTTTCAAATAATACTCAGAAACTTTGTTACAAACTGACAAACAGACTGTTTCTTAGGACATTTCATGTTAGCTCTAAGACAAATCATTTTGAAAATCAAAAAAAATTTATTCAATATTAATAATTTATTGACCTCAAAGGCATAATTACTGAATCATACAGAAAGTTAGTACCAAAGGAACAAAGGAAAAAATGATCCCGTTTATCAGCACATAGAATAAACTGACTTTTCTGTATGAGAATAACATTTTTATTTATGTGTTTTTGTCAGCAAATACAAATGAACAGAAAAGGAGGGAGACTATCATCCATATCCACTACAATCCTAAATTCCTCAGATCAATCATTGACCTTTATAAAGACATATATTTCACATGTAATTAAGAAGCTGACATTTATAGTTTACCTATAGGAAGTATGCTTTACCAAATTATGAAGGGAACCTTTCATTTCTACAATACAATGATAAGCCTGTGTTGTAAATATGTTAATATCCAGTATTCACAAGATGCTATCTACATTAAAAAAAAAAAAAAATTGGGCGGGGGGAGACAAGATCTCCCTGTAGCCCTAGCTGGCCTAGAACTTTGTCTTACTATGTAGACCAGGCTGGCCATGATCTCACACCACCAACCTCTGCTTCCTGAGTGCTGGGATTAAATCATGTACCACAATCCTGGATTGTTATTTGCATTTTTGAACAATGTAGTTTAAGAGCAATAATTTATTTTTCATTCTATTTTATTGCCTCATTGATGAAGAGAGCAGACAGGTCTTGGGTGCAAACTAAATAAGTCAGATGTTGAACTGAGATCCAGTGCCTGAGTGTGTCTCATCAGCTATTCCTCCTAAGCAGTTAACTGGAAAAAGTCTTTCCCATGACCCTGTGAGTTAGTAGTCCAGACGGAGGGACTGAAAAGGAACATCCCTGCCATCTAAATATTAAGTGTGAACAGTTCTGTAATTTGTTAAAAAGAGAAAGCGTAAATCTTTGATGTATGACATTCAACATCTGTACCAAATAACATGTGTCAACTTTGACTTGGAAAACTGTTGTTATACATTAATATTTTACTGGCTGTATTTTAATCAATAGGCATTTCAGATTTAATACTGAAATGAAGCATTCACGCACCAATTTGTCAAGAAATTTCATTAGAATAAGATAGTAAAATCAGCCAAAACTGATAAAATGTATTTGAAGAAATATGGTAAAATAACCTTTGGTTAGTTAATGTTTATCTTTCTAAAATATTTTTGTGCACTCAGTCCCTGTCAAGTTCAGTTTTCTCTCGATGAATTTCTCAGACATGACTCCAGCACTCATTTTCATTTGTCTGGTATTTATGCAACATCTATTTCCTAAAAGGTTTGGAGAACAACTTTCCAATAGAGACTGGGGTTGAAACTATTAAAATACTTGTTTAAATATGAACAGTGAAACATTAGTAACTTGGATCTGAGCTCAGCATGGAAAGGACAGTCTCAGATATACTTGGTAATGGTTGGGTGGGTAGGATGGTTTGTGTTTTCAGAAAATATACAATCTTAAAGACCTCTTAGCTTGCTTAGTCTGTGCCCTCTGCTGATAAGTGCTTGTTCTCTGTAGCATATTTTCCAGCACTATCCCAGTTTTAAGTGAGCCAAGCACTGTCCTCATATTTTCAAAAGGTCCACCTGACAAGATCCCTCCACCTACAAGACCTCTACCGACAGTGCCCCCTCACCGCTCTGTTCCTCCGGCTGACCCCAGGAGAAATGACAGGCCGAAACCTCCTCGGCCTCCCACCGGCAGACCTTCCTATCCAGGAGCCAAACCCAACATCTGTGATGGGAACTTTAACACTCTAGCTATTCTTCGACGCGAGATGTTTGTTTTCAAGGTAGGAGGCTGTGATTTATTTTTTTAACAGTAGATCAAGTGTCTAGTGTCACTTTAGAGAACAAGTTCTCATTCATTCTAAAACTACCTTCCCAGCCCTCTCACAGTTAGGAGGTTCATAAAAAGCACCCTAAAAAATAAATGCACAAATGAGCTTAGATGTCTAGCAGAAGATTGCTGTGACATTCTATTTTGGGAATGCATTTATGTCAGCAGGAGCTGAAATGCCTGGAAATGTGAGGGTGCAAAAATACTTCATGTTGTGAAAAGATAAAATAGCAGAATTTAAATCATGAATGGGATTTAATAGAGATGATTTGTTTGCGAGATTAGCCACTTTCACACATGCTGCAGCTACTGTGCATTTAGTTACACATCCTTATAAAACCCTATAATTTCAGATGACAATCACTGCATGGTTTTTTAAGAAGTACTGATTGTTTTGTTTGGGGTCTACTGGTAGCTATAGATTTAAATTTCCATGAGGTCATCATTTCAATTTGATATGCCCTTGTTGTTTGCCTTAGCAGGCATTATGGCTACCTAATTTATATTTTGTAATTACAAACTAAAATTAATTTAAAAATTTAAAATGCTCTTGATAATGTTATTTGTCAGAATACCAATGAATAATTTCTGAAAAAAGAAAATGAGTGGTGAAAATGAGCAAAGGAAATTATATATGCTTGAAAATCCCATAATTAGATCCATTATTTTATATAGTTATAAATGCTAATAAAAATTACAGAAAATAAGACAAAAATTATGAAATAGTACAATGTGAACATAGTATAAGATGAAACATCAATTTATTCCCACTATTTGTTACATGTTCTTGAAGATTCAGGGTGAATATAAATGTGCATGTTGATATTAGATTATTAAAACTCTCATGTTTAACCACTTTCATCTATTTAAATATAGAATAATGTACTCAGATTATTGGTGGACATGAATCAATATACAGTGCAATATTCTTCTACTTTTACATGCTCTCCTGCATCAAGGCTACATTCCAAATTTAAAGATTTTACATAATTTTTGGAAGACAAAGCACTTTATTTGAAAATAAACTCTGTATTTGATATGCCTAAGACAATTATGCTTTCTAAAAAAAAAATCAATGCTTTTCTTAAACCATATAAATAGATCTTTTGAATCTTGTATATGACTGTTAATTCATGACTAGATATCAGTATTCAATTTCAAGAATGTTAATAAGCTTAGATTCAATTAGTATGAAAAGCTTATTTTAAATACATATGCATATATACATATGTGTCTGTGCATTCGCCTTTATCTGTGGATGATGAGGACCAAGCTTGTTCATGGCAATTCACCATTATTCACAGTTGTGCTGTGGTTATGCTACAGCAAATAGTTGAAAGGAAGACAAAACTCAGTAATTTTCTTCTTCTGTATGACACCAGGATTTTGTTTTTACTGCTAAATTTCCACATTGAAACTTGATACCTTGGTACCATAATGAAATACCCAAGTTATCAGCCTTATCCATAAATATGATATGAAATTGACTCTGCATGCAATCTTTTGTATGAGTCCTGTCTGCCTACATAGACTGATTTTCTCATAGCAAACTGTTACCTACTTACCAGGCAGTCACCTTCACCTGCTTCTTTGTACTGTACACTATAGGTACATAATACGTGCTGTAGACTGACAAAAAAGGGTCCTGGAGTCAGTAGTATGTGAAAAAACACATAAATGGGCCTCTCAAATACAAGGCAGTAGCAACGACTTTCAGTGTGAAAAATGATAATTAGATCTTTTCCCCTAAATACCTATATTACCTTAACTTACTTATCAAAACTGCTGAAGGAATAAGTTCCTAAAAGACATCTGGAATTTTTGCAGTAAGCTCTGTTTAATTGATATGATTGATTTTTGGTAAAGATAACATCATTTGATGGGTATTTTATTCTTCTTAATCAACATTTTCTTAAGGTTACAAAACTTGGTAATTTTGACATATAATAACCATTATATACCTAGTATGGGTAATTAGGCACCAAAATTGTGTGAGTAGAAACTAGCTTTCTACTGAAGTAAAATGAACTGAAGTAAAAATGAACACGAACATGCATACTTTTAAGACACAAGTGTAAATGTTATAACACTAAAATAAGAAACAGTAGTGAAGTCTAATCCAAACAGAAGTTTTATTGATTTAGGATTTGGGATCAATTTTAAGAGCAGAATTGTCCAAGTATATTAAGGAACTCAGTAGCAAAAGGTTTATGTATTGAGGGAGAGAAGATAACCATAGTATTTTCTAATACAAAATGCTTAGTACTGTAATTCAGATATAAACAACATGGGATTGAGGTAAATACCACAATTGAAGGCTATTTGCTCTTAGTCAATGACTGTTACAGAATGAGTAGTCAATATGTGTCTGGGTAAATATGGGCAAGTATCATAATCCATAATCTCTGAACCCTAGAACAACACTATGAATTGAATATTATTCTCTGTCTCACAATTGCTGTAAAAAATAAATAAAATAAAATAAAGTAAAATAAAATATCCTGGAATAAACCTGACCAAAGACATTAAAGACCTCTACAATGAAAATTTTAAATCTTTAAAGAAAGAGATTAAGGAAGACATCAGAAGATGGAACTCCCATGCTCGTGGATCAGAAGAATAATATTGTGAAAATGACCATCCTACCAAAAGCCATTTATAGATTCAATACAATGCCAATCAAATCACCAAGACATTCTTAACAGAATTGGTAAAAAAAATATCCTAAGATTCATATGGAAGCACAAAAGTCTTCGGATAGCCAAAGCAACCCTGAACACTAAGAGCAATGCTAGGGGAAATACTATACCAGATTTTAAACTGTATTACAGAGCTACAGTCACAAAAACAACATGGTACTGGCACAAAAAGAGACCCATAGATCAGTGTAACAAAATTGAAGACCAAATATGAATACATGCAATTTCAGCCACCTGATATTTCACAAAGGGGCCAAGAACATTCACTGGAGGAAAGACAGCAGGTTCAGCACATGGTGCTGGCAAAACTGGATCTCCACCTGTAGAAGAATGGAACTAAACCCCTATCTTTCAGCTTGCAAAGAAATCAACTCCAAATGGATCAAAGACCTCAATGTAAAGACTGAAACTCTGAAACTGTTAGAAGAAAACATTGGCAATAACCTACAAGATACAGGTGTAGGAAAGGACTTTCTAAACTGGACATCAATTGCTCAGGAAACAAGGTCAAGCATCAACAAATGGGACCTCATTAAACTAAAAAGCTTCTGTACATCAAAAGAAGAAATGAAGGAAGTGAAAAGAAAACCCACAGAAAGGGAGAAAATCTTCACCAGCAGCACATCTGACAAGGATTAACATCCAGAATATATAAAGAAATCAAAAAACAAAGAATCAAGAAAATAGGTGTGTTAGTCACTTTTGTGTTGCTGTGATAGAAACATTAACCAAAGTAATTCATAAATGGAAGAGTTTATTTGAGTTTACCAAGGTTCCAGGGGGATTACCCGTCTATCAATGCAGGGAGGCATGGTGGCCGAGGTGACTGGAGAGGAACAAAGGCTAAGCTCTACATCTTACAGCAGGCACAGGAAACAAGAGAACAACAGGTTTTAAAAACTCTCTAAGCACATCCCCACACAAATGCTTCCTCCATGATAACCATACCTTCAAAGACCTCCCAAAACAGCACCATCATCTGGGGACAAAATGTCCAAATACTTGGAGCCTATGGGGGACATTTTCAATCAAAGAATCAAGACAGGAAGTAACCCAATTAAAAGATGGGCTAAGGAGCTGAACAGAGAGTTCCCAAAAGAAGAAATAAAGATGACTAAGAAGCATCTTAAAAGGTGATCAACATCATTAGTAATTAGGGAAATGCAAATTAAAACCACTTACGATTTCATCTTACCCCATTCACACTGGCTAAGATCAAGAGAACAAATTATACTAAATGTTGGAGAAGATGTGGGAAAAGGAGAATGCTCATCCACTGCTGGTGGGATTGCAAACTTGTTCAGCACCTACAGAAAGCAGTGTGGAGAACTCTTAAAAAACTAAAAATGAATCTACCATGTCACACAGTGATACCACTCCTTGGCATATACCCAAAGAACTCATCCTATTTTAGAGATGCTTGTACATCCATGTTTGTTGTTGCTCTTTTCACAATAGCTAAGAGATGGAAGCAACATAAGTGTCCCTTAAGTGAGGAGAGGTTAATGAAAATGTGGGTCCTTTATATGGTGGAGTTTTACTCAACAGTAAAGAAAGACGAAATTATGAAATTTGCAGTTAAATGGATTGAATTAGAAACTGTTATACTAAGTGAAGTAACACAACTCAGAAAAAAAAAAAAGATATGTGTTCTCCCTCATATGTGGATCCTAGCACCAAATCCTTATGAATATGTATCCAGACATAACTACTGGAAGGAGGATATTGAAAAGGAATGAGGAAGTAAAGGAAAAGAAAGAATCTGAAAGAGAAGAGTAGGAAACAGGAGTTAATAAGTGAGATATGAATAAAAAAGGGGTCATTTTATGGGAAGGGGGTAGGGAGGTTTATACAAGGACACTTGGGGATAAAGGGAAAGAAGATGCTCAAGAAAGGTGGGACCATAGGAGAAGGGTATTATTAAAGGAGAAATGGGAAAATGGGGGCAGTTTAAATGGGGAAACCATGGTGGAAAGGTTATACAATGTGAGAGATAAATAATGCCTAGCTAATCTTAAAAACACCAGAGGTAACCCATATTAATCAAACTACCTATTGACAAATTATACATACAACCAAGTTAAGGAATACAATATATGTCTAGACAAGGTTTTGCTGAGAGCATTTGGTCTTTGCCCAAGCTTTATCTACATAGCACATGATAATTAAAAGTACCAGACTGGTGGAACTAACCTTATCAGATGTTTAACAGCCATACTTTGAGGCCTATACTAATTTGGTCAGAGGGACATAA